GACGAGATTTCCAACAGTTTCCAAGGGTCTTGATGAGTAGGTACCTTACGAACTTTACGAGCCTCTAAAAATGTTAGTCTTTAAAATCATTCGAATAATATGGTAACTGAAAACTAGCCTAGCTTTGTAGTATTCCATTAGCAAGATCTAGATCTATTTACAAAATGCACTGGAATGAATAAAACGGATTGTCTTTGTGAAACTTCCTAAACTCAAAAAATGCCCGAAAATCAGATTTCATTTGCTACCTACTAATTATTTTTAAAATATCATGCAGGGTGTAACCTAAAGGTATGTAATAAAGTGGTACAAAGGAACAAAAGAAACATTTTTGTTATATCAAGTACATATACAGCCAAAAATGTGTGTTTGTCCAGTGTTCGCAATACTTTTAACGCGGATAACTTTTGTTTTAATAATAAAATGTCTTTAATAATAATGTCTTTTATTAAATCACGCTAATCACATTACGGAAAACGAATATCTAAATAATATATACGGTCTATTCAGTATATCTTCCGTTGCACGTCATTCCCTGAAGAAAACGACGTACCAACGTAAACTTACTTTCGTTTATTAGGCAACACATTAAGCATGTAGTTTATTTTAGCCGCAACAATTGGTAGCATTTCGCTATGTTGTCGCGTTTAAATTTGTAAATTTGACAGGTTGCTTTTGGTTTACTTTTCGTTTGATTTGATTTTGATTATTTTCTACGTCTTTCGCTGTGCATTGGTTTGAAGAGAAATTACTGAAGAATTTAGATAACCCGTTAGTAATTGTGTTCGATAATGGGAAAACAAACAACATTAAAGTGTGGTTAGGTGATCATAATGTGCAGTTCTCCGAAAATGATTTTACAGCCGAACTGTTGAAAAGGTTGCACAGTAAGTACGTTCGCAAATTATTTGATGTTATATAAATCTTGTTGATACTTTTAGGAATAAATCAGCTAAAATGTACCGCATAAGGCATTGACCACTTAGCCGAGCAATACGGTTACTTCGTTTTACGATTACCACCCTATCATCGTGTTTTTAATCCTATCGAACATATTTGGGGCATAGCGAAAAATTATTACAATCGACACATTGGTAGAGATGGACGAAGCATTGAAAATTGCATAAACATGTGACAAGAATCACTACAATCGATAACTTCCGAAACGTGGCGCAATTCAGTTAAGGATACGGAAACTGTTAATACACGAGTGGTACGAAAGAGAAAAGCAATTAGATCTTGAAAACGTTGCTACTATTATTATAAACTTTGAACACGAAAGCAGTTCCGATGATTCCGATTAATTTGAATATCATCCATCACATCACATAACCTGTAAAATTTTATATTTAGTACCTACTTTCTCTGTAAAAGAGATGCTACATTTGTACAGTTCATAAGTTATTAAAGTATATTGTATGTATATTGTGGTTCCAATTAACGAAATGAATAATAAAAATTATTTTTATTTTATTTAAGGTGTGGATTGTTCACACAAAGAATGCACTGTCTTGTTGACAAGTGACATAACCTAAATCGCTCAAAACTAGATTTGGCATTATTGCATAGTAATTACGTCATAGAATATGATGACGTGCAACGGAAGTTATACGGAATAAAGTGTATACTTTGTTTCAAGGGTGCTGAACCTTTCGTCACACTATCTGACGTCATAGCAAAATTAAGGCAGGTCGTAAATTAGTAGTTGGTTTACATATTGTCACATTGACGTTTCAACTTATTTATTAAGGTGTCACTATCGTTCATCATTATTAGACCGAAGTGTATGATGGTTACAGAAAACGCATAGGAACATTTGTAACTTAAAGTTTGTTTAGGCAGTTCGTAAATTAATATTTTGTTTAAGTACATAATGTTGATGTGAAATTAAGTATGCTACCAATGTGAAGAATACGCGTTAAGTTGCGCGAATTTTAATGACCCTTAACTAGCCATTTGCAGAAGAAGAATAGGCCATGGTTTATCGGTAAGCCTTTTGCATTTATACATCTTACAAATTTGAGATAAAGCGTAGTCATTATACCACTGGCTCATTGAAATAACAACGCATACATACAGTTTCTGTTTCTTTTGCCACACAGTCGAGATATTCGCATAAGGATCTTGAATATCTTCTGATCCGATTTATTTAAAAAAAAACGCAATTGTGAAAGAAAACAGGTAGTGAAGAAAAAAACTCTCAAATGTTCATATTCAAATCGTATGTACAAAAGACAAAAAGCGACACTACACCACAAATCCATCTTCTGATCCTGCATGGAGTATTAGGTATATACCGGACCCCTTCACTACTTCTTTTTCTAACTGTTTTGAGAGTACCATCTTGCCAGCTTCTTCTAAAAGACCCTTTACTGTATATCCAGGTTTCGTCTAAAACCACAGGTCGTAATATGTATAAAGAGTGAAGTTTCGTTGTGTTTAAAGTCTCTCAAAAATTGTAGTCTTCTTTGAACTGCATAGGGCTGTTCCATTAAAAATAATCTATTGGAGACGGTGCATCTCCGCCACGTGAATTTCAGTTTCTTCAAACTGCGGGACAAAGAGGTACCAGATATTTCTACGCCATCAAGTCGTTGAAGATTACTGTGTAAGGAACGGAGTGTAACTTCTCACCAAAATCAATTCAATACCTAAGTGTTCTGGCGAACATCTTCATTCTGTGTATCGGTTCGTCATATTTACCTAATGGTAACGGGAATGACCTAAATTCATGATATGAGCGAATCGAACCATTATGTGGTAAAATTTTTAAAATACTTGTCTATTAACGGCGTTGCTGCACTGTCGACTTGCCTAAGCGTTTTTAACTTTGATGATATTTCCGTCACTTTTAACACAAACTACCTAATCAACACTGGAAATCTGTCTATAACGAAAATCGTTTGACGGATTGATATTATGACAGATCAATTGGTTTATTTGTCACGAATTACGTTAATGACGTAATTTTTTTGTCTCAATCGATTTAAATGTAATGAAGAGAGAATCACATTTATGACGTCAGGTTCAGCACCAGTGAAACAAAGTATACTTTGTTTCACTGGTGCTGAACCTGACGTCATAAATGTGATTCTCTCTTCATTACATTTAAATCGATTGAGACAAAAAATTACGTCATTAACGTAAGTCGTGACAAATAAACCAATTGATCTGTCATAATTTCAATCCGTCAAACGATTTTCGTTATAGACAGATTTCCAGTGTTGATTAGGTAGTTTGTGTTAAAAGTGAAGTAAATATCATCAAAGTTAAAAACGCTTAGGCAAGTCGACAGTGCAGAAACGCCGTTAATAGACAAGTATTTTAAAAATTTTACCGCATAATGGTTCGATTCGCTCATATCATGAATTTAGGTCATTCCCGTTACCATTAGGTAAATATGACGAACCGATACACAGAATGAAGAGGTTCGCTAGAACACTTAGGTATTGAATTGATTTTATAGGTGAGAATGTTACACTCCGTTCCTTACACAGTAATCTTCAACGACTTGATGGCGTAGAAATATCTGCTACCTCTTTGTCCCGCAGTTTGAAGAAACTGAAATTCACGTGGCGGAGATGCACCGTTTCCAATAGATTATTTTTAATGGAACAGCCCTATGCAGTTCAAAGAAGACTACAATTTTTGAGAGACTTTAAACACAACGAAACTTCACTCTTTCCATTACGACCTGTGGTTTTAGACGAAACTTGGATATACAGTAAAGGGTCTTTTAGAAGAAGCTGGCAAGATGGTACTCTCAAAACAGTTAGAAAAAGAAGTGGTGAAGGGGTCCGGTATATACCTAATACTCCATGCAGGATCAGAAGATGGATTTGTGGTAGTGTCGTTTTTTCTTTTGTACATACGATTTGAATATGAACATTTGAGAGTTTTTTCTTCACTACCTGTTTTCTCTCACAATTGCGTTTTTTTTAAATAAATCGGATCAGAAGATATTCAAGATCCTTATGCGAATATCTCAACTGTGTGGCAAAAGAACAGAAACTGTATGTATGCGTTGTTATTTCAATGAGCCAGTGGTATAATGACTACGCTTTATCTCAAATTTGTAAGATGTATAAATGCGAAAGGCTTACCGATAAACCATGGCCTATTCTACTTCTGCAAATGGCTAGTTAAGGGTCATTAAAATTCGCGCAACTTAACGCGTATTCTTCACATTGGTAGCATACTTAATTTCACATCAACATTATGTAAACAAAATATTAATTTACGAACTGCCTAAACAAACTTTAAGTTACAAATGTTCCTATGCGTTTTCTGTAACCATCATACACTTCATCTCAAAGAGTTTCGGATGCTCTGGCAGTATCCATTTGGATTGTCGGTGCAAAGAATCGGTTACATGAGGTGATTACAAACGGTGGAAAAGGTTTAATTCATACCAACGGACTTCCTCTACATAAAATACATGACCATTTACCCATTATAAAACCTAAGAACAGGAAAAAACCTATCAGGACCAGATGCCTTATAAGTGATTGTCAACTTGGGCGGTCTAATCATGATGAACGATAGTGACACCTTAATAAATAAGTTGAAACGTCAATATGTAAACCAACTACTAATTTACGACCTGCCTTAATTTTGCTATGACGTCAGATAGTGTGACGAAAGGTTCAGCACCCTTGAAACAAAGTATACTATACATAGGCGCGATTTAAAAGGGCGAAGTTCAGATACTAATGGAAAGTCCATTAGCCCTTAGTACACTTGTTTACCACATGTATACTATACTATTATATAGCTACTTCCGGCTAAGCAGGACGAGCTTAACTTGTAAAAAGAATGCATCAATGTTTCAAAAGGACCAAAACTCATTATGAACGTTTTCTTCGATGAAAGAGCCTTTTTGAGCCTCAGAATATTTTTAGTAGTTTCAATGCCCCTATAAATCGGCCCTGATAGTCGTCATATCCTTACATTGTTAAAAGCCATGGCCGTACAACGAGTTTAAAGATCTTAACTTTCAGAAACCTCGAAGTATGAAAGCTGCCGAACGCCCGACGGAAAGCTCGGCGAATGTAAGGCAATTTCACAGTGTCACTACATATCCGTTATGGCAGAACAATCCTTGAGTTATAGCACGATAATGTTTCTAAAAAAATCACAGTGCGGCTTTGAAGGCCGGAATCCAAAAGTCTGTTGTATGGATGAATATGATGACAACAGAAAGGAAGATACCTTACCAACGTCCGAAGATGGATACATGGCTGGTTGTAAGCACACTCTACGAAATTTTTGCCTAATCCTATTCATTTTTTAGTTCCAGCGTCTAGCACCAAAGAAAGACCACCAGTTTACCCAAGTATCACGAAACCAGATGGTACGTTTCCAGTGTCTTCTAGAAATTTACTACCCGATAGAAGTGTGTGTGGGACCGCAACAGAGAATAGAATTGTTGGTGGACAGGTAGCCGAGCTAGATGAGTTTCCTTGGATGGCACTTATCGAATATCGGAAACGTAAGATAATTTTAGCTTTATACCAACCTTTAATACATATTTTAGCTAGTGGCAGCGGATTTCACTGCGGAGGAGTTTTAATTAGTAAACGATATATTCTCACTGCCGCCCATTGTGTCAAAGGACGCGATTTGCCGAAGACTTGGCAAATGTACGTGCCCGATACTATTTATTGGACTTAAATTATGCCAGTTTCTAGATCTAATGTCCGCCTGGGGGAGTATAATACTCAAACGGCAAAGGATTGCATCCCGCAAAGTGGATATGAGTATTGTTCAGATCCTCCACTTGATGTTCCGGTCAGTGAAGTGGTTGTCCATGAAATGTACGACCCTTTTGACCAAAACCAGTACCACGATATTGCGTTGCTAAGGCTGGAATATGATGTTCAATTTACTAGTAAAAACACTACTTGATACACTAAAGGAATAAAATGTTTATTTTTCAGCTTTTATCAAACCAATTTGTTTACCTACTTCGGAAAAGCTACAAGGAAATTATGTGGGTATTAATATGACCGTGGCGGGTTGGGGAAAAACCGAGACGAAATCTGAGAGTAAGGTCAAGCTGAAGTTGCAAGTAAATTGTTAGGTAATCATTTAATAAGTGCGTGAATATTTCATTTTAAGGTTCCTGTCAGATCTATGGATGAATGTGGACCCGTGTACAGCACCAAGAATGTTAAACTGTCCAAGGGTCAATTATGCGCTGGTGGAATTGAGGGGAAAGATTCATGTCGAGGTGATAGTGGGGGACCCTTAATGACACTGTATTATGTTCCTAGTGACTACAATTGGTACGCAACGGGAGTGGTTTCTTTTGGACCTTCACCTTGTGGAGTAGCTGGTTGGCCTGGAGTTTACACAAAGGTTTCGGAATACATTCCTTGGATACTCAAGACTATAAAAGCTTAAATTATACTTACTATAGTTGTTTTTATTTAATTCAACCATCATGTCTAGAATGTATTGTCTATTTTTTGTAAAAAAATCATTAATTATTCATTTTCTTTAGTTTAGGCGGGCTTTGTTCCTTTCATTTGAAATACAAGGGCGTTTTCAGATTAGGTGATCGTTTGGGCAGTTAAAATCCCAACTTGATTAAGGCTAAATCTGGTGTGGTTGTCAAGTTTCACGCTACTGTGGTCTTTGTGGGGATTGGTGAAAAGTGTTATTAATTTAACAATTTTTTGTGGTGTTAAGGCAACACAGGTCTTTCTTTGATGGGGAAGAAATGAAAGTTGAGGAATGTCGGTATAGGTCAAAGTTTTTATTCAGCACTCACTAGGCCAGGAAATTAATATTGTGCCGCTCTTGTTAGTGAACCGACAAGCCGTATTAGTATTATGATATTAGTAGGTACCATTGTACAAATACAATGTTAGTACCTAACGATTTTTACGATTGACTGCGTAAAGACTATTTAAAATCAATTTAGTACGGCCAAGGTACTTAATTTTCATTTCAGAATAGTTGTTAATACGGAATTACATTTTTTATTTTCGTGCAACTTTTCAAATTTTTTTTGTTTGTCTACTTGCTGTAAACAATGGCTTTTCTAAAAAAAGTCATAACATGACGATTGATCCGTCACATCAACTTCCAGTGCGTGATTCCAGTGTAGATATAGGCGTATGGTTTTTTGTATAGAATTTTGTGCATGTTTGCAAGTATCATGATGTTCCGGATTGGTGAAGGGGCAGAGGAAGTTGGGAGAGATAAGTTTAAACAAGGAAAATTCGCTATCGTGATTTGACTCATTTGAACGGATACGAAGATGGTTTTTGTCCATATTATCGCTTAATCAAAGAGTAACCTATTCCATTCCTTACCTATGCGATCAAAAATGAGTTGCTGTCGAGTCAGCTTTGGAATTTTTTTTCCATGGGGATTCATATTTAACTTGAACTTCCAAAGGAGACTCGACGGCAATTCATTATTGATCGTCCGTTATAAGCAACACAATGTGAAATAGATAATTAGTAACTACCTAACTAAGAATATTAAGTCGTAAGTCCTAATTTAGTGCCCCGATTGTTCAGCACGGCACCCTAAGAACGGTAGATCAAAATCCACCCAACTCGAAATTCATTATTCCTTCACCTGTATATTCAGTACTCACTCACCGATCGACATTACCACATATTGTTGTAGTAATGACACTACTATGAGTTGAATTACTGCCACTTTATTTCGTTTGCAGACTGACATAGGACCCATGCCACTGCGCCTTTCATTCTTACCTTTTTCACCCTGTTCAGTCTCTCACACGGATCTAAGTGCTTGAAATCAACGATCGTAGGTAAAGTAGTTTCTATTGCAATATCGAATCGTATCAGTCGATGGTCACTCTCCACAATGTCCATCAGGACTTCCTACACGTCTACCTTGCGTTACAAGGAGAACTGTAACGGACGATTACAAATTATCGATTCACCGTGTATATTCTTCTTATCCTTCATTTCTCGGTCGATGTCGGTGTTCAGTATTTCGGATACTTCCAGCTAGGTAAATAAATGAGGAAATAATTGTGATCTTCGCAGTTAGGTACTTCATTAATTTCAACAGAATGATAGTAATCAAAATTTTGGATTACTACCGAAATTGACACTCTAATATGCCTGGAGGAATTTTGCAATTGTCATTATTCAGCGTGCGTTTGAATTTCAGAACCTTTTGTTCCTGTTACTAAAGATTATTCTTGGTAATAATTACGATTGCAAAACATTACATGGATTAGATTAGAAAACATTTATTTTAATTAAACACACAAATAAAGCAGATAATTATAGTTATGTTAAACCTTAAAACTTAAAAGCCTAAACAATACTAATTTTTGACAATACTTTAGCACTTCAGTCCTCGGGTTAAATTCAACTTCATAAATAAATTGTCATTAATTCCTCCGTAAGGTGACCGCGAGTTTTAAAATATGTGCCTACCTACGCCGTCGGATTTTAATTAGTATAAAGGAATAATGTGTTTTACCATTGAATAAGCACTTTAAAGAAGTATAACTACATAGGAAAACCTGAAATTGGTGTAAGGTGTGTTGCATACACTGCAAAGTGGTTAATTACCACAAATATTGAAGGATATTTGGCCTCGGGCGGTAAATAATGACTATTTTAAGCAGGGAAACCAGTTATATTTAGGGTCCTTTGTTTTCCTTGTTTATCAGAGTTGAACGGTGTTGTCATATTTACCAGATCCTTATATGGAGCTAGGTAAAGTTTGATTGTTTATTAATGTAAAGATAATGGTCCTTAGAACAGTTCTTATTGTTTTCTTATTAGATTAAACTACATTTTTTACGTTATTTATTGTTCCTTATGATCTTACATTTCAGATCGATCCTCCCTTACATAATATGGTTATTGGCACTGAATAAAAGCTTATTCAATATTTTAATCTAGTTTATTCAAACTCAAAGCGCTTGCCAAAAGTCTGGCAACGTTGGAATTTGAAAGAAGTAAAGAAACCTGCAAAGACGGTAACTAGCTTTAAATTTGTGGTTCACTTTCCCCCACAACAGAGGGACGACAGAATTCTGGGCAGATTTTCTTATTTCATCAGTTAACACGGGCGTTATACTTCTTTAAGGTGCTTATTCAATGGTTTTACCTTATGAATGAAGTCTCTTTATATAGCTGGAGTTGTTGAACTTGATGATTCGGTCGATGTCGAATTTTGGAATTTTCTCTGCGACTCGCAGATTGTCGTTGTCGTAGATGGCCACGTCCCGGTACTTTGAAATCTGCGACCCTCTGCTACGCGTTACTATGATTTCACTTTTTAAGAAATTTTCCACTCCAGTATATTTGCACGTAAATGGTGATGCATTTTTTCCGCGCTGAGCGATACGTTTAGCTGGCAGTAACTTGAATATACACTGGCTTTAATCCAAAATTATTGATTTGGTATTATTCTCCCAAAACGACAATAGTTTTAGGTGCCTTTTTAATATGTCCCAACGTTAAAATGGTGCGCGTTAAAAACTTGTGCTTCAGATTACAAAAGCAGCTTGAGGCTTGATAACATCGCCCGCATGTCCTACCGTAGCCTCATGCAATTTGCGCAGCAGGGGTCCTGTGGGAGCTTCGGGAACTACCTGACTACCTGTGCAGCGACCGCACTGAAATTCACTACAGCGCGGCATTAAGAAGAGTTATGGGCGAAATTTTCGCACTTAAAGCACTACACGATCCGGATATGGTCTTGTATGTGACAGGTATCCCACGCGACGTACACACGATGGCTAACCCAGAGATGCTTAAGTACGGAACCGTCGTACTCAAGTATCCAGTGACACGTACTCCTTTTGCGCGGACCAAACAGGAACATCACCTTTAAGGATGTGTCCGCCAAGGATGGCCTCATTGCCTTGTTCCGAAGAGAAATCACAGGAGATCCAAGATGGATGGGCTTTGTCTTGCGACTTGTAGGTGAGGGCGGATTTCTCAAGAAGGACTACGGGGATTTTGGAAAGATCTCTCTTTTCCAATTCAAGTTTTACGGCGTTCTTGCCAATCTTGACTACCTTGTCAAATCGTAAGCCTAAACTTTTAGGGTCTAGGACTGTCATGAGTGCTGTCTTTGTCTTGTTGGCTGTCTTTGAGAGGTCGGGGGATTTAGGAACTGCGATGACAGTAGACCTAGTAACGGGCGCTACAGATATTTTCCCGATCGATGATCGAGAACTGCTGCTTTGATAGCAGCATGGTAACTCATAAGGGATGGTGTAGGAAGCGACGCCTGGCCCTTTTCTGTAGGTATACATTTCGTATTTTTAATATAGGTGTTATAATAAAATAGTTTAAAGAAAATTACTCATACATTTTACTCATACATTGTTATTTTGTGTTCAGTTTTTTACCCTCATGGGTATTTTTAATTTTAAGGGTTGGTAACCCTAGATCTACCCCTCCCCCGCAACTGTCCTCACGTTGTGTAGTTTTGTAAATTATGTTAATTAATGTAAGCAAATTGAAGGTTGGTTAATGACCACTGTCCGCTAACTAAAATCAGTAAAGTCAAATCTGTTAAAAGTTGAAAAAGTTGTCAAAGAAATGAATCACACTTACAGTACCTTATAGACAATTATACGCTATAGGTACTACATAATTAAGAAATTAAGAAAGGAAACTTTCAATACAGCGGATCAGCATGAAAAACGGCCTTCAGGTTTAAACTTAGCACTAAATTGATATTGCGGCCTTCCCTTGATATCATGAAATCGTGATGTTCGTCATCCGCTCAGGCGTTTTTACCAGACACAGGAGGCCTCGGTCAAACCTACGAAAATAGACTTCGTGAATCATGCTCTGGTAAAATAATTTAATCAGAAGGTAAATATACTAATTTTCTAATCGCTAAGTAATTTGTATAACAAGTAAAAAGTGCGTTGTTTACAACTATCTACCACACGCTTATACGCTACATGCGCAGTGCGCGGAATGATTGCTTCAGTGAATGCACTAATTACAATTACAAATTTCAATTTGTGCTGGTAATTAGTGCCTACGATAAAAGCACTGGTAAATCAAACGTATTTCGTCAGGAATCTCATCGATTTTTTTAGAGTTTAGATGAAATGCAGAGTCAACATAACTGGAGTTCCATTTTGCAGTACTCATTATCATACCTACTTACGGGAAATTACTGTGATCAATATTGATAAATAATTGAGACACTCCGCATCAGCATAGTTCTTTTACATATTTTATTCGCACAGTACAGGGTTTTTACGGTCAATAGGACAAATTTTCTGACATGGCATGCCAATAAATCTACAGGCTACAGCCAGTAAAAACCTTTAGGTACCTTGCGTTGTGCAATATTTATATTTTACTTGTTACTAATTTATAAACAATATTAAGATAGTGCTTATATATGTGACGAAAGTATAATGAAGCTTTAGTAATACCATTGTTGTATATTTTTAAACCCTCACTGAGCCGAGGGCCAAAAATTAAGTTATACTTATGGCACGGGTGAAAGTCAATTTACAAAAATCGCAAGAAAAGAACAGACCTTTCCACCACACATGCAACTACCTACAGTATGTACTTTATCAAGCATGTCTCAAAACAATAAAACGGCTTTGTAGCTCAGCGGTAGAGCGTTGGGCTACAAAATCGGATGTCGGGTGTTCGAACCTGAGTTGAGGTGAATTTTTCATCTGTGACAAAGAAGGGAATTTCCTTAGATTAGTTTCGAGCATTCTGTCTGCCGGAGTAGTATGGAACAACTTAAGACCTTCTGCAGGGGCACCTCTAAAAAGCAATATGCGGGTCACTCTGTAATTGGGCGTAAGCCTGTTGAGGGCCTAGAACAAGAGGTACAATTAAATAAATAAATGAGAAACGGCGTTTTCAGTGTCGCATGTCACAGATATCCGGTGCGAGTGAGTGACTCTGTTGTGACTAAATCGAGCTCTGGTAAAAGAATCTACTCTCGTCTTGTGCCGATGGCAGGCCATGGCTCGACTTTCAGTTTCACACACCGAAGTTTATTGTTTTATCTTGTTGATCCCATACTCTTTGGAACGGCTCCCACATAGCAGATCGAACTGTTGTTCCTCAACTAGGATCATGTTGTGGGATTCTCCTGAAGTTGCCGCTTCCCTAGCGACAGAGTCAGCTCTTTCATTTCCCTCTATTCCTATGTGGAAGGGTTCCCATATAAATGCAACTTTGCAGTGAGCCCTATATAGTTCTTGTTGAATTTTTTGGATTAAACTATTTTATACTCATAATTGCACTAAGGGAATCTGTGCGAATGAGGCTATCTTTCTTATTATTGCCCTCGTTAATATGCTTAAGAGTCTGCCAGATGGCGAACTGCTCGGCTGTATGAATACTAACACATATATGTGATGAAGTTCTCCATTTCTGGTTCCGCTGAGATTTTGAAGTTTTTGAAATATTAAAAGAACCACGACTGTGTTTTTTATTAATTTTTCTAAAAAACGATCGATTTCGGGTTATGAGTTACGCATCATCAGGCTATGCTAAAATTACAAGTTAATGATTAATTAATTAATTTTAATGCTTTATCAACTTCATTAACTTGTAATTTTAGCATAGCCTGATGATGGGTAACTCATAACCCGAAATCGATCGCATTTTAGAAAAATTAATAAAAAACACAGTCGTGGTTCTTTTAATATTTCAAAAACTTCAGAATACTAACACCTCATTGGTGGCGAAAAACCGAGGTAAAGTCCCTTGGTGACAACTGAAGCTTTCCGTTATCCGTCTTTAATGAATCTGTGTAGACAACTAGACACGACTACCTGACTGGCTGTCTTGTATTTCCTTCAGTGTGCTTTTGAAAATGTAGGGATAGTAGGGATTGTATCGTCTTTGTTCGAATTGCAGATTTATAGACTGTAGACGTATCGTTAATTTTTAGTGTAGATACAGGTGAATTGCTCGTTGTATGCTTTTCTCAGCCGTTGGTGAACTACTGGAGGCAGATTTCTTTGTCTGGATGTCGATTGAAGTGATGGGAATAGATACTTTGTCGTGTGATTATCAGAATTTTTCACGTTTACGCTGTAAATGAAAAGAAGTTGCTGCCGCAATAGTATGGATTTGTTTGCAATCACCCATTGATAATCGGATTGTATTATTTTGAATCGGATCAAGAGAGACTTTATCTTTGGCTGAGGAATATATGTACAGCGTGTTGCATCGACGGACGGGACATAGGAAATCCCATGTAAATTTGAAGGAGGTTAACTATTGGCTTCCCTAATTATTTTAGAGTAAAAATCTATTTAGGTTATTTGAAGAGCATTAAAATCCGTATCTAAAAGAATAACTTTCGAAGTTTTTGATTAACCCCTGAACGAGGGAACAATTATTGAGGCAAAGGATGACTGCAAAATGAAGTCGACATACTGAAATTAATGCTTAATTTCTATTATTAGCCATGAATTACACGACTGAAGAGTATTGATGATTAAATGGTATTATCATAATTGTTCTCTGTAAATAACGGGCGATAACCGCGATACGGGGTGAAAATTTAAACCCCGTATTCACGGACCAGTTCTCAAGTTTTTCTATTGCACTCTCTAACAATTCTTTGGCATTGTCTTGGTTTTTCCCGCTGTAATTTATAGCAAGATCATCTACATAGAGATATGTTTTTATTTTTAGCGCATTTTTGCAAATTTATTTGTAAAAAGTAGCTTTTAATCTCACTTTGGCTGGCTGGCTGGCTGGTCGGCTGGCTGGCAGCAAATGTGGGCGCGTAGAAGAACTCTTGTAGAAAGGCAACGGGTGTACGTGTATCTACAAGGCCGTGTAATTTGTAAACCTTGGGGACAGGCCTACATGATGTGGGGTTGGCGACATCTGGGCGTCGTCCTCGAGCGTAGTATACTAACGTGAAGGTTTTTCAGTTTTTTCCTATCTTCTACTACAGTTTTGGTTCGATTCTTTTCAAATTGGTGTCGTCGGAAAGATGTTGTAAACGCGCACAACTCCTGCGTGGCGGAATTTTGTTTTTTGGCCTAGGGGCGAAATTAACGACCTTTTGCAAGGCGCGCGCGCGCGTCTTCGAGAGGTAGTCAACTTCGGGCACCTTTTACCTTCCGTTGCGAATTCTGTCACGCGTTTTAACGTTTCGTAAATTTCGAATGGCTGTCTCTCTTTCTCGTGTCGCCAATAGAAGCTCGAGCAATGAGAAGTGCCCCCCAAAAATTAAGTACTATCTTGTGGAAGGTTTTTAGCGAGATCCACCAAAATGTGGGTGTAATATAAGTATGCACCGAAAAAGGAAATGTGGTAGCCCCCGACACGATCTTACTGATGGTGGAGTCAAATCTTCAAACGCGAATTGCGGGTGAACGGGGCGTCGGAAGTGGGTGCCGTCAAAGGGAATGTGGTAGCCCCCGACACGATCTTACTGATGGTGGAGTCAAATCTTCAAACGCGAATTGCGGGTGAACGGGACGTCGGAAGTGGGTACCGTCAAAGGGAATGTGGTAGCCCCCAACACGATCTTACTGATGGTGGAGTTAAATCTTCAAACGCGAATTGCGGATGAACGGGAAATCGGAAGTGGGTACCGTCAAAGGGAATGTGGTATCCTTCGACAAGATCTTTTATTCATGGTTGAGTCAAAAGTGACTAATAGAATACTGATCTGCCACACAAAAATGCGCTGAAGTCCCTTCGATCTCACACGAGGACTTTGATAATTTTTTAGGGTTAAGAGCGAGAGTTGGTATTTTATTTGTCCAAATCATAAATAATATAGCACTGAGAATGGATCCCTGCGGTACGCCGTTTATTTGCCTGTATTGATAAGAAACTGTTGTGTTTAATTCGATAGATTCATTTTTCAGGAAAATATTATGTACTGACTGTGATAATTATAGATTGCGATAATACCGGATTATATTAAATGTCAACATTTTATAAGAGTAATCTTACAAACAGAAAAACCAAATGATGTGTTATTCTACAGTCTTCCTTTAATTTTTATAATCGGACATTTACGTGATTTACATTTCCTGTTCATATAGTAGATAATGTGTAAACAGTGGTGCAAAAAAACCAAAGCATGGCAATAAATCTAATACATACCTAATAATTATATTCACCGAGTGCTACTGTTAGTTAAATCTGTCACTGTACAGTGTAGTGAAGTATACAAAAGATGAACAAAGGCGTGGGGATATTACTTTGGTTCATTATTAGCGGGTTTGGTACAGGTAAGTGATCACAGGTTTACATTTGATATATTAATGATCCTTATCTACCTTAGTTTACGGCGTTCTTCTCCAGAAGCTCATAGAGAGCGATTTTGAAAATTATTAGCTTTACAATCTAATGTTAACGGATGCGATACGCCCACTTTTTTCCATTGCTTGCACCTAAACAATTTCAGGTCAAATTTGAATCTGCCACTTACACTTATTTATCCAAAAAGTTGCCCTTAATTTTGCACAAACGGCATGCTTGCTTATTTCCTCGTTTTATAGATCAGACTATGTTCCAAAATACCGAATGGTGTGTGACACCAAAAAATTCTACCGGGCAATGTGTGCCAATTGATACTTGTCCCGAGGTGATGATAATGTTGAAGTCGCGTCCTTTAACCCCAAAAGGTGGCGACTACTTAAAAGCAGCCCATTGTGGATTTCATGGACCAAAACTTCCCAAAATCTGCTGTGCTTTTAACACAGTTCACTCGACCGTGCCTACAACAGGAATTGGTATAGAAGCATTTTAACGCTCCGATCTAATAGCAGTGGTCATTTTTAGGTTTAGCTAGGTCTACGCCCAGTCAAGAATCATCACAACGTTTAGTTGCCGAAAAGAATCGTTTAAGTAAGTAGTACTCGTACGTACATAAGTTAACTTAATTAACTCTCCTTACGTTTAAGAGGTGATTTTGGTTTCTTTGCTACCAGATAAATATGAATGCGGGGTAAGTGCAGCTTCAAAGATTTTCAATGGTTCTGCGGTTGGTTTGTTTGATTTTCCATGGATGGCTCTTATTGAATACGAAACGCGTAAGGTTTATTTTAAATTTTGGCTTCAAAATATGAAACCGCAGTTTCTCTTGCTTTGCGTCATCTGAACAATAGATTTTTCTTAATTTCAGCCAATGGTAATTATTTTAAATGTGGCGGTAGTCTGATTAGTAAGCGATATGTGTTAACGGCTGCACACTGCGTGAACGAAGATAATATACCCCCAGGTTCGAAACCGTAAGTTGGGTTTCTGTTTTCATCATGACATTAGCTGAATTTCATAATGAAAGTGGAAACATTGTGCGTTGTCTTCCTCCGCAAAACTCATCCAAACCTCTCCTCTCGTTACACACTTATGGTGAGAGCACGATCTTCTATTCCGCAGGGCTAGTGTCCGTCTAGGGGAATATGACCTGGCCACAGATATCGACTGCGATTATGATTATGTATGTAGCGACGACCCTGTTGATGTTCCAATTGCCGAAATCCTAATGCATGAACGCTACAATTCCCACGATGGAAATCGTTATCACGATATCGCCCTCTTAAAGTTGGCAAGAGACGTTGATTTTACAGGTACCTAAATTATATACGATTATTATGGAAGATCTTGATCCAATTGTAGATTTCATTAAACCGATTTGCTTACCATATACAACCGATCTGATCTCTCAATCATTTGCTGGAACCATTGGGACTATCGTGGGATGGGGAAAAACCGAATATGACAGTAGTGGCAGCACCGTTAAACTTTCCGTGGAAGTAGGTTTAAGTTGCACTAGGATGCTGTTTTTCATCACTTCTGTTTTAGTTACCGGTGAAATCCCATGAAGAATGTACACATATATATAATAAAATAATGATAGTACCTAGTGAAGGGCAAATTTGCGCTGGTGGAGAACAAAATAAAGATTCTTGTGAGGGAGACAGCGGGGGACCACTAATGACCTTACACGAGGAATCAGCTCTTTGGTACATTACAGGAATCATTTCCTTTGGAGCAGAGAAGTGCGGATCTTTGGGATGGCCTGGTATATACACTCGTGTAACTGAATATGTTCCTTGGATTATTGGGAAATTTTTAAATTTATAGAACTATTTAACCGTTCATCAAAAACTTTGAATAATTATTTTAGTCTAACGATACTGTCAAGGGTAATTCGGACGGTTCTGAACATTTCGCATTACTTTATTGTAAAACATTCCACTCCAAAAGTAGTTGAATGTACCTAATGAGCAAGGGATCAGTAGTCATATCGATTTTTTTGTTATTTAATATAATCATGCGTATTTGGGGAATAAAATTAATAGTTTGCAATCACTCTTCATTATCATTTTAGAAGAGATAAAAGGAGAAACCTGAATACCTTTAATTCAAATTTACACAACAAACGCAGTATTGTTGATGTAAAAATAGTATATTATATACCGCGGAACTGAAGTAGTACTTTTAATCCCGAAGGTAAAGTTTATAATTTACCTGAGGGATTAAGATCACTACTTCAGTCGCAAGGTATATACGATATTTTTCGTACTTCCGAAACTGAAACACTAAAATCTGTATGGAACGCGTTCTTTCAAAAAATCGCTGCTTAACAAGTTACCATAGGAACGTTGCGTTGGCGTTGGTACGACAAACCCTATGCTATGGTAACAAAAATAATTTGGGAATTGTCATTGCTAGTGTCATAATTTTGGTGGTAGGTGACAAAGGTGTATTTGATATTGATAAAAAGCAGCCAAACTAGGTAAAGAATTGATACCACCGAAATCCAAAAAAGTATATGAGCAGCAGTAGGTACGATGCGTTTAAGAGGTGGTGCCGCATACAAAATGTGGAACAACCTACTGAAATTGCCTCGTTAGTAATTTCATCCTTCCGGGATTTTCGTCCAAATTTAATCCCGGCGAGACAAAAAGTGACACTTCAGTACTTGTCGCATAAAGGAGTGAAGTAGTCACTTTAGTCTCGGAAGTACGAAAATAGTTATTTGTGTACCAAGGCCGTAAAAGTGATCTTTTTTGGTCGAAGCTGCTGTTTGTGGCCGAGGCGGTAGCCGAGGCCGCAATTCAGATGAGGCCTAACAAATGTTTTGTGCGTATCAAAATGGGTGATAGCGACAGTTCAGATACCCCAAATGAAATTTTGGAAGCTGCAAGCGTTGCGCTTGCGACCCTAAGTCATATATGATATAAAAGCAGGCGTTTGAGAGTAAAAGTACAATCGCAACTTCCTCGGTTGCACAAGATTTTAATAATGTCAAATGCAATAGGTCCTTCGTAACTGTGGCTTCCAAGACCTTATAGTTAATGTACAATTATTAGAAACCTGATTACCTACTTTGATGGTAGGTATAGGTAGCTACTTGTGTTCTCGGTTAATTGCTGGTGATTCTTCGTATAATAATGTAAGCAATAACATCTTCCTCATGTTTTGGTTCTACACTTCAAACAGGTCTCTGCAAGCAGCAAAGATTGAAACGTCAAACTATAATTTTAAATGTGAACATTGTGATTACGCAAAATAGTGTGAAACATTCCTACAAGTCTGAAAATGAAAAAAACGCACGTGGATGGACCCAATCCTTGATGAGGACAGACCAGATAGACGCTTTCTATCAAACAGATTACTGGTTCTCACACATCAGTTTCAAATAAGTACAGTTTGACAGATGTGTACAATAAAGTACAGTTTGACAGAAGCGTACAATAAAGTGAAACTTTATGGCCGCAAAAGCGACCACAAAATCAACGTGTTTGTGATGATAGCCTAAAAAGACTTTTATGTTTTACAAATAGTTTTCTTCGTCAAAGTAAATATTCCTTTAGGTACAACATAATTCATTATGTTTGATTAAGTATGCGTGGTTCGAATTTGTTAATGTGATTGAAACCATCCAAACGTCAAACGTAATTTTAAATAATTCAATTCATCGTGAATGAGCAAGAAGTTCCAGAAACTATACGAAATAAGGCCAATCTTGTGATTTAGTAGGTATTGACAATTCATAATTGACGTTTCTAATTTTCAATGACCTGCAAATATTTGTTAGTTTTGTCATTAAGTATGAATGAGTTACTATGGTGATAAAGTGGTACTTTATGCCCGCGTATCACAGATATAAAATGTGCTATGAAAGGTTAATAAGACATAAAATTTTGTACCTATGTACCACGGGCATAAGCTGATGTTTATACTCTCGGGCGACTAAAAAGCTCTCGGGCCATAGGCCCTCGAGCTTTTTAACTTGTCGCCCTCGAGAATATAAAAATCACTATTATGCCCTTAATACATAAATAACTATTATAATTCAGAACCTATTCTCATTGAAACAAAGTATTTTAAGGTAGTAATGATGTTTGGAGATTTTTTCAGATTCGTTTGAAAACTTCGGGTTTTCAATCTACTCTGGTTTTTACAACTGTCACAATTATTGTAATACACTGATATATTCTGTAAAAAATCTGTAATAACATTTGATTTCCACTTATGTTCAGCAACCCTGCATTGCAATTTTATACAGGGTGGTTTGTTCGCATGTGAAGTATTGCGATCTCGGAAACTTCTCGGAGATATAAGGACTCCAAAATATCGCGACGCGCGATCAGTGCGAAGAAACCACCCTTCGTAAAATGATTTTTTTTGACAATTTCACCGTACTGCAGTATATTGCATTGAGAGTCTTTATCACCGTACCGTTTACTTTTAAAGGTAAGCGTATGATACTTTTCCGTTAATTATAAGTAGGACATTGCTTTGCTTTTCCTGCATTTACCCTTTTGGTAAGTATTCCTCCCCTCTCTCTCTACATTTATTGAAGACTAAGTGGTGCTTATCCGGATTACTTTTACTGTTTCCTTTTTTTGCTTATTTGTGCTTGTATATAAGAACCCCACATATTCACCCCGACCCACCTTGTATTGGCTACGGGGTTTTCTTTTCCCGAAATTTTACAAGTGTCAGTTGTAAACTGTGTAGCTTAATTGTCGACATTGGCGAGCTGTTCCACTGTCGGTCTTCTTAAAGTAGTTAGAGCGCCTTCGGCTGAAGTCAAGCGACGTATAGACTACTACTACCTACTTTATTCAATGCCACTACCTACTTCCTTAAAACTTTGCTTAAAAGTAGATAAAAAAAATGTTTAAGAAGGAAACATAATTAGATGTACGGTATGAGTGGTATTTTCTACTTCAGCACAATGCAAACGTCATAAATGATTTTTAAAAAGGTAAAGGGTGTTTTGAAAACCTCCCACCACGGATTTATCGAAAACCACTGATTAAAGGAAAAACGACGAGACACGTCAAAAATTTGTCAAGCGGGACGTATTTTTCTGTTAATGTTTTGAATGTTGATTACGGAGATGTGACGTGCAACCACTATCCAAACACCGTTCGTTATTATCGCAATTTAGTGAATTGTTTTTAAAGAAACTTTCATCTAATTAGGTAATTTGCATTTTGTTTATCTTTACCCTGATTATTGACACTTTTCTTTTTCCTACATTCGGACTCCATGAGATAAAAAAAATTATAATTTTTTCGCACCCCTATTCTCGTAGTAGGAATTTTGAAAAACAATTGCAAAATCGGAAAGGGCATACCCCAAAACCTATTCACAGACCTGTCTTTGTAACACTAACTCTTATGGTTGCTGAGAAAAAAATTAAAGAACAAATGCTAATTTCACCACTTTTTTGAGGGTGGTTCCGCAACAACACGCTGAATCCTTGGTTTATTTGGAAAACGTGCTTGTTTTGATCCCCAATTGTTTTACACACTTATATGTAACACCCTGTACAGGTAACGAGTGGAATGGAATTAACTTGTGGTGGTACATGTGGTAACGGATACACATCACACCACAGTTATAACTTATAAGTAAAATCAATACGGCGTTTTCCTCCCATACATATATACAACATTATTGAAAAAATTGCGAAATGAAAGCAATGACTGACAACTGACTTGAGTTGTTAAGATAAGTTTCCGTTTACTGTGAAGAAAAACTGAAACTGAGTCACAAATCATAGCGATAAATCGCTGTTGTTGTTTACACTTTCCAACTTATCGCTACGATTCGTAGAAATTGATGCCGGCCGGGATCCACCATCCAATCCAATTACAATTCCAATAAATCGCTACAATCACCTGTACACACGTGACAATACAGTTACAATTCGATAGTTACGATAAATTGTTACAATATATCGTAGCGTGTAAACCACGCTTTAGAATTCATTCTACTGCGAGTTTTTTTTTTAATGGCTTGATGCAAAGCATATTCAGTCAGCTTCAATATACAGTGTGTCCCAGATCGGGTGGGATTGCATGGGTAACTTTGTTATTATTAAGGATAGAGAATTGGTTAAATGGGCAATGTTTTGCAGTTTTAGATGCTTATTTAAAATTTCCTTTTGGAAATTCAAAATGTCGCATAGGTTCGACGTAAATTCAAAAAAACTAAAATTGGTCATTTCCTTGAATGTCTTATATCATCGAAAGTATAAGAGATATAAAAAAAAGTTTTATATAAAAGTTACTGTCTTTGATACGTTTAATTTAGAATTGATGTCAAAAAAAATTCAAGATGGCTACTTTTGAGGAACATTTAACAACTTCCTAAAGTTAAATAGGCGCCATATGGGATTTTTAGATTACTTGATAGATTTTTTAATTCTCTTTTCAACGAGCCATCATAACATAAGATTGAAAATAAGATACCAGTTATATCAACGGTTTTTGTATTTTAATCAAGTAGGCTGTGATGAATTAAAAAAAAACAAAACAAAATCTATTCGAGCCAACAAAACAATGAAAATAATTACATCAGATGTTTAAAAAATCAGGGGCGCACTCATGAGAGGGGGGGTTTGGGCATTACAACTCCATCCAAAATTTTATATAAGTAGGCCTAGAAAAATTTTGATTGTTATAACATCACTTATTGACTATCTTATTATCCATACTTACATACCTACAAATGGTGGTATAACTACAAACTATCTCCTCGAAAAAATGTCATGCCATTATCCAGTTAAAACATTTCAAGACACTTTGCTTTATTTTACACAATGTATTACCATTGATGCATTGTCCCAGGTCACATTTTGTAGGTGGTTTATCCGCAAGAATATCGAAACTAACAGTTTTACCATTCCGAGTATATGGACAGATGAATCTTATTTTTCTAACTGCGAAGTGTTCAAATCGACATTATGAACACTACTCGTCACAGGAAAACCTACATGTTGTAGTTTCACGCCGAAATCAAGTAATATTTTTTTAAATTAATGTATTTTATGGCATAATGGGAAGTCA